CCTGACTAAATGGCATTTTATCAACTTTTAAAAATGTATTATTTATTTTTTGAAATTTGTAGGGGCATATTACAGTTTGAAAATGTAAGTTATGGAATTGAGCCCTTAGAGCCTTCGATTGGTTTTGAACATGTGATTTATCAAGTAAAACATAAGACTGCAGGTGCTTCTTTATATGCTGAGGAGGATATTCAGCCAAGAGTAATGCCCTATAAAATACAAACTATAGAGGTAGGTAATTAATTGAGTAAGCTATATGGTTATTACTATTCAGCAATATAAACAATGTATTTTTTCTGATAAAAATAATTTACATTAAATAAATTATTGATAGAAAGATAGACAGATAGATAGATGTACCAGAAACTTTATGACTTATATCGTAAGCCTTAAAACTAGTCATTCAAATGTCCAGAACTCCAAGCTTGTATTTTCTGCTGTTGGTGGCATTTTTCCCCCTATGATTTAGACCTTTATTGTCTGCAGATGTACTCCTTTCTCCGTATCTATTATGTCAAAATTTTGATATAGTAAATACAAATACCATTCACATAAATATTGAAGATACATATCTAGGGTCCTGAGGAGAATCACTAATGTCTTTTAAGGCAACTGCCTGAGGGGCAGACATTATATAATGTTTTCCTCAAGATGCAGGGTTAATATCCTCTTACAGGTTGGAAAAGCTGCTTACGAGTTTAATAACCCCAGATTCATCAGAGTCTTCCATATGTCCCCATTCCAATATTCAGGATCTCATGTCTTCCCAATTAATGCCCTCACTTTAACAGTAGATACCCTGTGATGTTGGAAATCAATTTATGTTGTAATTCATCTACCCATAGAATGATATTCTGGGTTTGCTTTTCAACCATTTCAGATGTGCAGCTGCAGTAGTTAAGGGTCTTTTTCAGGTCATATATTTCTCCAGAGAAACAGAACCAACAGAATATATGTATGTGTGTACATATATATGTATGTACACACACACACACACACACACACACACACACACACACATTAATGTATATCTGGACNTCCATTTTGTTTAGTTCTTTTTCTGGAGCTTTGTTCTATTCCTTTATTTGGGACATGTTTCTTTGTCTCTGCATTTTGGCTTTTTCTCTCTGTTTGTTTCTATGTATGAGGTAGGGCTGCTATGCCTCCTGGTCCTCATAGAGAGGCCTTATGTAGTAGGTGTCTTGTGGGACCCAGTGGTGTAGTCTCCCTGTTCACCAGAGCTGGGTGCTCCAGATGTGTCCCTTGTGTGTGTTTTGTGTGCCCTCTTATTGTAGTTGAGCCTTGGTTGCTGTGTGTACATCAATGGGAGGGATTGACCCTCAGGCTGATTGGCTGTGAGGCCGGGTCTTGACTACAGTGGAGGCGCTATTGTGCAAGGACTGACTGTACAAAGCAGGGTACCTGCCCAGTCTGCCCTCTTGGTGTGTTGTCCTCAAAGGTGGCTGGGTGATGCTCCTGCCTGGTCTGAAGCTGGCAACCAAAAATGCAAGCACTGGGGCCTCCTGGGAGGTGATCCACTGCAGGCCAAGTTTAGCCACAACCTGTGCCCTGCCTGGGGCCGCCTGGTAGGAGCCACAAAGCAATCTGCAGATGGCCCCTCCCACACCAGGCTTGGAAATGCCTTGAGGGCACAATATGTGAACCGAGGCCAGCTGTTGCTAGTGCCTGGCTTAGGGCTGCTCAGCCAAGGTGAAGGATACGTTGAAGCCAGATGCTGCTTGTTTGGGTTTTGTGAACACTTGAGAGATTTTATGAAAGTCCACACATGAGCTAAGACAGGTTGTATAGAAAAGCCACTGGAAGTGGTTTGGGTGCGCCCAAATGTTGGGCAGGGTGGGGTCTCAGGGAATCAGTAGGGCAAGGCAGATGAAAGGTGATAGCCCATTTGATGGAGACGCAGATATGATGTCTGCCTGCGTCTGCACGCAGGAAGGTGGAGGGCTCAACAAAGAAACAATGGCTTTCGCCAGCTACTCCACGCTACTCCATCCAGAAGAAAGCTGCCCCTCTAGTCCTCACCCTGAAGCTAGAAAACTTAGTTCCTCCCTGTATGTCCTTGGCACCTTTAGAACTGCTGCCCCAGCATTAAAGCTTAGAGTGAGTGAGCCTGTCAGCAAGTAAGTCCATTCACAGGTCCTTTAAGAGGAGCACTTAGGAGTGCAGCCATCCTCTGACTCACCCACCCACAATCTCTGCTGGTATTCACAGCCAGAAGTGATTGGGACTTCTCTTAGTGGCACTGGAATCCTGGGCTGGGGAGCCTGGGGTGAGGCTGGGCTCCCTCACTCCTCTGGGGAAACCTCTGCAGCCAAGATATCCCTCCCGATTTTTAATGGTCACATGCAGTTTTGGGTTTAGCCTGTTCTGTGTCTCTGCCCCTCCTACCAGTCTTGAGATGGCTTCTTCTGTGTGTCTGTAGTTGTAGGGTTTCAGTTCAGCTAGACTTCAAGCGATTCTCAGTGATGGTTGTTCTGTAGTTTAGTTGTAATTGATGTGGTCCTTAGAGCCACATCTTCATTTTTAAAGAATAATTTTTCTTGATACATAATTCTGGGTGCCAGGGCATGTTTTCTCTCTCAGCATATTCCATTGTATCCTGACTCTGTAGGTATCTGTGTCTATATATATATCTATAAATATAAATAGTGAGAAGTATCATTGTTTGTATCATTAGTCCTCTGAATGTTATACGCTAATTTTCTTTGGTTTATTTCAAGATTTTCTCTTCATTTTTCATTTCCATCAGCTTATTATGATGTGCTGAGTTCCTTATATCTTATGGTAATGAAAAAAAACCAAACAAATGAAAATAAGCAAAGGCCCATTTATTCAGAGCTTGACATACATAGCAAGGGAGTCANAGAAGTGTACATATAATTGCATTAATTGCCCATGCCTAAAATGCTGTTTTTCTTTTACCTTTGCCCTGCTCTACCAATTTCTGTTGATTTTTCCATTTGCATTCTGATTTCTATGTAGTAAATCTACCAGTACTTTGAAATTAAGGCGTTTTTATAGAGGTTAAGCTTCTAAAAGAAGAAATAGTAGATATGTGAATAATTGCTTTAAATTTTGTTGAACAGGCTGGGGAAATATATGTGAGTCAACTATGAAGTAGTCTATACAAATATATAAATAATACATAGTCAAATTATGTTATAACATATATGTACATGTATGTATATATACACACACACACAAGTATATGTGTATATGTATGTGCATATGGCATGTATATGTGTATGTGACTGGGTGTGTATGTGTGTGTATGTGTATGAGAGAGAGAAAGAGAGTTAGAATTAAAAAGACAGAGATACATAAGGCTACAATATCCCATGCCTGAATTTTATGTAATTCTGCTATACCTGACACCTAATCCCACCTCCTACCTCTAAGGAGGTAACCATAAAAGATAAATGTATAATTAGAAAGACAAAGAAAAGAATATTTTATTAATAACCTGGGTGTGGAAGTTGTTGGGTATTGGCCTCAGTTAAATGTTGGCCTCAAATATAATGAATATAGTCATGTGCTGCAGAATGATGCTTTGGTGGTCCCATATACAATGGTGGTCCCATAAGATTATAATGGAGCTGACAGCCTAGTGACACCATAGCCATTGCATTGTTGTAGTGCAACTCATTACTCATGTGTTTATAGTGATGCTGGTGTAAACAGACCTGTGCTGCCAGTCCTAGAAAAGTATAGCACATACAATCATGTACAGTACATAATGCTTGATAATAATAATAAACCACGATGATACTGGGTTATACACTTGCTGTACTACACTTTTGTCATTATTTTAGAGTGTACTCTGTCTACTTATTGAAGAAAAGGTTTATTGTAAAACAGTGTGTTGTGTTACTCCTGCAGCAGCCTCGTGTATCTCACTGAACTTGGAGTGGGGGAAGGAGGGTGTGGTCTTGGCTCAAATAACACAGGCTTTCATTTTTCTTACTGAATTTTCATAAGTTTTCTTCAATAACTGTTTATTCATTTTATCTTCAGACCATTTGTTCCTTTGACTATTTGCAGAGGATTTAA